CACACTCGGTGCCCTGACTCTCGTCACTCCCCCTTCCTCCCCTGTCTGCCTGTGCCAGTCCCCAGATCTGGTAGACTCCATGCCCTCTTCTGTGACTGACTTAATCCAGGCTCTGGAGAACTACAAAGTCAGGCTCTTCTGCTGCCTCTGTAAAATGGGAACAGTAGTACTGAAGTCCGTGTCACTGAAGACGAACGAGAACGCAACAGAAAAATAATTCAAACTAGAGAATCTTTTATTACAAAATGTTAGAACAGATAGACTAAAATACTTCGGAATGCCTCGGATGAGCACGGGGTCTGCAAGTTACCCAAACACCTGCTGGTAAAATCTGAACGTGTTCTGGAATTACAAATCCAAATCTAGGGCTCCAGATAGGGGGCTCGTTATGGCCAGTGGGAGAGCAAGCATCCGGACATTTAAAAAAAGTTCCTTGACTGTCCTCACTGTTCGGGTTTTCTCTCTTCTACGCAGTCATCTTTACAGGGGAGGAAAAGAGGGTGCTGTTGGTTCATTTTCAGCAAGCAGACGGAGCTAATCCAAACGTGGATCGCGAGGCCTCCTACACCCAGCAGCAGCCGCCGAACACACTGAGGGGTGGGACTCACCGCCTTCTTCGAGTCCGGGACGCTGCTTCTGCGCCCTCCAGCCTGCGGCCCGCCGCCCTCCCTAACGGAGCCCGCGGGGAGCCCTGCATGTCCCTGGCACTGGTTTTGGTTTTTTAAATCTCTATTTTATTCACTTGGGCTTTCTTGTGACAAGAGAGAATTCACCATTTTGGCCAGTTTTAAGTGTGTAATTCAGGGACATTAATTACATTCACAATGGTGTATAACATCACTCTCTCCAGAGCTTCTCCATGATCTTCAAACTGTACCCACTGAATAGTAACTCCCCTTTCTTCCACCCACCTCCCTGGAACCGTTCTGTCTACGCATTTGCCTCTTCCAGCTACTTCATGCAAGACCTCCATCAAGTGCGTGTCGTCAGGGTTTAGCCACATTGACCACATGCATCAGAACGCGTCCACCATGTGCACACCGTGGGCAACATGCCCCATCTCCGTTCACCCGAGGCTATCTGGCTTGGTTTCGCCTCTGGGCTGTTGCGGAGAGTTCTGCCTCAAACCTGCGTGTCCCTGTCCCAGCTTCTCGGTTCTGGGCATATACCCAGAAGCAGAGTTGCTGTTCTCAGGGTGAGTCCTTGCTTACCTTTGTGAGGAACCCCCAAACTCTGCCTCCACACAGCGTTTGCTGCACCATTTGCCATCCCCATGAGCAATACACAAAGACCCCAACTTCTCCACTCCTCACCGCCACGTTTCCTTTTTGGGAATAGCCATCGTCAGGGTGTGAAGCAGCAGCTCTTCATTTTGACTTGCGTTCCCCTAATGACCAGTGATGCTTAGGATCTTTTCCTCACATTGTTTTTTAGAGGGTTATCCAAACACCCTTTGTATCAGCTGGGGTTTTTTATTGAAAATGTTAGAAAGTCTCAGTAGGGCTGGAGGTGAAGCCTCGGATGTATTTAACCAGTACTCTGCATGCCTTTTACTTATGAGCTTTCAAAACTTCAAGTATTAAAACTAAATAAAGCTTAAAGTGGTAATCAAGAAATTCTGTATGGTCCGCTTAAAACATAATACATTTTTTACTGGACTCTGCCTCTTGTTTGAACCTTACCGATAACTGTGTCAGGGGCAGAGGTCTTTAATGCTTTTGATTATAGTGAAAAATGCCATCTAAGTGATTGATCATAAAATATTTAATAACATCAGTTTATAAATCTGTGATTACAAATATGGTCTCCTGGTTATATGAGGGGTATTTAAAGGCTACTAAACATACCTGATTTTTTGTTTTTTTTAATGAGAGGGGGGCAAAAAAGTGCATGTGCTGAGAATACCAAAATTTCCTTCTTTCCTCTTCTTCCTTGACATTGGTCAAGACTTGCTTTCTGCTCACAGCACAGACTCTCTTCATGAGAGTGGGAATGCAAATGGGTTTCATTTCCAGTGCCATCTCTGGTAGTGGCTGCTAGAGATGCAGAAGATTTGGATTCCCATCTTTGGACAGTGACTAGTGATGTCTACCACCAGGAGCCCCCTATACTAGGTGGGTGCCATCCATGTTGTGAGGTAATCAAGTGCTGAGAGTAGAGTAGGCTTAATTCCTATTTTCCAGTTAGAACCACTGAAATGAGGCAAACTTTCCTAAAATTAAATGTGGAGGGGTGGGGAGAGCACTAGGATTTTTGGTGACCAAAGTACCTACAGCCACTCCCATACTTGGAGTTTGCAGAAATGTGGGCCTTAAAAAAATTAAGCAACATTATAATAAAAATCACTCACATCAAAAAACCTGTTCCCATCAACATATTAAACTGCCCCGTGATTCAATTCAACAGGACAAATTCGAGTTTAAGAAGATAAATGCAAAAGACCAAATTAAAGAGTATCACCTACCCTAGCCCTATACAATTCCCTGAAGAAAACACCAAGACACCCAAAACACGAGGCAGGACATTAATAGGAGAAAGAATATTGACTGTAACAAGGATGATTTAAGATCTCAAGTGAACCAAGAAATGTGGCTATAGATCTCATCATTCCTGTAACTGAATACAAAGAGGACTTACAATATAGTTAACAAAGATAACTTATTAGATGTCAAACACAAAATTTACTATCTTATCTTACAAATTAGCAAAACATGAAGTTACAATGAAAGCGAAAATCCTTCAGATTGCTACTCTAAATGTCCACCGAAACCTCTCCAGAAAGCGATGATAAAAGTACCAAGACCTTAAAGAAATAAAAAGGAATCCCAAGAATGAGAAAACATATATAAATGTTCACAGGTTATTTATAAATAGCTGGAAAAGATTTACATGGACAAACTGGACAAAGCAGTATCTAACGTCAGGAAAACTGGCTAAAATTCTAGTCAGTCCTAAGGTTTCCCAAAACCTACCCAAGGTCTTTCCAAGATTAGTAAAGTCACGTGTGAGGGCATGAGGGGGTTACAAAATTACATGATTTCAAGATAAGTGTGTAAGCACAAGTAAATACAAAGGACTCAAAAAATAAAAATGTTCTCAGCCATCTCTGAACGGACAGAGTTCCAGAGATCTAGTGTGTGCTATTTTCTAACTTCAAAACCCTACACTGAGCATTCTACTACTATCCAAGAAACACTTTAAAATATTGTAAAAACAAAATGATATACCTCCACAAAAGTATTCAATACATCCAATGTAGGGGGAAAATTGCTTTGTAAACACACATACTAACAGGAATGGACCAAGATACACATTTGTGGCTGATCTATTCCCTTTCACCACAAAAATGGCTACACAAGCATGTGATAACCAATTCAAAAAATAATGCTTAGGTAGGGGAAGAGACTACACAAATCTTCATTCTGAAAATGGTTAACAGAAGTAAATCCTGTTATTCAGAACTGCTGTTGGGATAAGGGGGCAGTCCAATTAATTTTAACTGACTTTTGAAGTTTAGTGTACCCATAAAAGCCACACAAAATAAAATGATCTTTGGTCATTCAGAAGGTAATTTCAGAATCTTGTTAGGTGCCTCAGGGTAATTAGCAACAGTTATCAGTATGGTGCTCTAAGGCGTAGTAATAGCAGCTAACATTTGTTGGGTGCTTATTACGAGCAAAGCACTGTTCTAGGTAACTTACTGGTATCCCGTGTAACCTTTTGGGGTAGCTACCATAATTAACCCCATTTTACACATTAGGAAACAGGGGCCCAAGGTCCCACAGCTGATAAATGGGCTAGAACTACAAGTGGCATGTAGGTCCCTGGAAGGCTGCTATAGGGCCCAGGCTCACCTCCATTAGGCTATGAAATACTAACTCAGTCTTAACTGTTTTTGTTTTGTTTTGTTTTAAGGGGAAAAAAAGTGATCAGCATTTTAACTTTATTAGTCTCCTAACAGAGTTGTGAAAATAAAAATGTCAGCAAGAGAGAAGAAATCAAGACTCTGTATACAGAGACCATATACCCATTCTTTTGCTTAAAATAAATGTATCACACTTCAAAATACAGCACACTTTTTTCGGTTATGAAGTACAGAATTGAACAGGAAAACAACTTTGGATTTTAATCAAACTTAGAGCTAAAGCAGACACATAAAAGTTTTAATTTGCCAGATATTCTTTTAATGAGAATTATAAAAGACCAAAAACATTTTTTGCAAACTGCCTTTTTTTAAACAAATGATTTGCTTTTGATTACAAACTGTGTAAGACGATGCCTTCTTCTGCAAAACCAATAAATACAAGAACAAATTTTAAACATGTGATTTGTCCAAGATATTTGAAAGAAAAAAAAAAAAAAAAGCCTGATTTCTTTTTTCCAGTATTAAAAAAAAAAAAAATCAGTATACCCTAAACTTTCAAAGAATAAGTTCAAAGGTATGACTCAGCTGGAGAAAAAGAGACAGACAGACAGACAAGAGACCATCTTACAGCTGCTTTAAATAGCTTCTGATAATTCTGCTGTTACCTTTCCTTTCTGGAACTTGTATCTTCTCAAAAGAGTTGAATGTAAAATATTTCTAATGAACTGATTAATGGCGGAAAAGAAAATACGTATTGAACACATATGTATAAACTTTACCATAAACAATTATGCATATCAAAAAGACACTAACTTTAAAAAGGTACAAAAAAAAGTGAGGAAAAACCTGAATTACAGAAAAGAAAGTCAAATTTATTTAATGAAAAACTAGAATTAATAAAAATTAGCAAATACACACACAAAAAAAATATACACACACAGCAGCACTATGTATTGACTCACAAAGGGGAAAAGCAGTGGTCCAAGACCACTCAACATGGCTTGTCGGTTAAAGGAAAAAAAAAAAAACACACGCGCGCGCGCACACACACACACACACAGCAACTCGCCGGCAAACACACAAAACAAAAAAACCAGTATTTTTCAACAGTACAATCTACAACACAAATTCAGAATTATTTTACAATGCTTCCTTTCTTAATACAAAAGATGCCCATCTTGGGTGTATATATATATTTTTTCAGTGGTTTACTGTTGACTTATTTTTAAATATATTAGTGTTACTACATGCAACTGTTTCCTGTATTTAACAGCCTTTCCTTTTATTTACCTTCATGTGTCTAGCTTCCACCTACCAAAAGTTTCAGGTTGACAGGCAGATGGGTGCCTTATTCTCTGTGAAACTGAATGCAATGGTTTTAAACACTGGCCAGAAAATATTGATTGCCATTTCAACACATGGAAATAGTTACATTGATGCCTAAATTGCCATTTTCTGCAAAAAGCTGTGCAATGCTGGTGTCAAAGACTAGGCAGTCACTATTCATAATGGCTGTGGCAATTCCCTCATGAATAGAGCGTGGAGTCGCTTCCCAAGTCAATCGCCGCCTATGACCATTTAGCTCAAGTCGATAAGCAAAATTTTCAGCTTGCTTGCGTGTTCCTATCAGCTGGACAATTGCAAAGAACTGCTGGTGACCATCGTACTTTTCCTGTTTCTCCAAGACTAACATGAAGTGAAAGCCAAAACAGGACTGCATCATCACCCAGTCAACAGCACCAGGAAGATTAATGTCTGTAGCAAGGAAAACTATATCCTCTCCCTGTAGGGTCGTAATGGACTTATGCTGATGCATCAGATGGGGCATGACAGCATCCAGAGAGCCTTGCCATTTACAGGAAGCACCAGGGCACGGACACGAATAAGGCCTAAACTCACAGAGCTCTTCGTGGTCTGCTTTTTCTGTGTGTGGCAAAGTTATTTCACATCCAGAAGAGGCATATTTACAAGGGAAGAGTACGGAATTGGCCACTTTCTCCATAGCCAAGTTGCGAATGGATCCCAGAGGGCCCCGGCAAGTCGGACAACATGTGAGCTTCGGGCGACAGTTGCTACAAACAAGATGGCCACTCTGACACTGCAGAATGGGCGGTAACACATAGTCAAAGCAGACCGGACACTCAAAAAGACTCGCCAAGTCATTGTTGGATGCAGTTGTGCCAGTCAGGGCGGGCACCCTCTGGGACGGCGTGCACTTCGAGGTTCCAGTAGGTAATGCTGTTGCAGTCTGGCGGCTCATTTCTGTAACAAAAACATAAATAAAAATAAAAGGAGGCAGGAGAAAAAGAATTACAACTATCACTTGTTTTATAAATAATGTTGGCATGCCAGAAATACTTAAGTTTCCTATGCAAAATGTACTGTGAGCAAAAGAATAAAGGATTTAAAAAACCACAAATTATGCATTTTGATTATAAGGAGTTGTATACCAGATAAAATCTCTTTTATCAAAATGTTCCAGGACACATGTAGAATTCCCTTTCTTAAAAAGAAAAAAAATTAAAAATCTGCTTGGATGAACTAGATGACATGGAATAAATGCTGAAAAGGAAACTGGACCATCAACAACTAAAGAAACCCTGTGTTGGGGCGCCTGGGGGGCTCAGTCATTAAGCATCTGCCTTCGGCTCAAGTCATGATCCCAGGATCCTGGGATCGAGCCCTGCACTGGGCTCCTTGCTCAGCGGGAAGTCTGCTTCTCCCTCTCCCACTCCCCCTGCTTGTGTTCCCTCTCTCGCTGTCTCTCTCTCTGTCAATTGAAAAGAAAAGAAAAGAAAAAAAGAAAGAAAAAGAAAGAAAAGGAAGGAAGAAAGAAAGAAACCCTGTGTTAAAGTAGCTTAAGTTCAATCAAATCGTTTTCACTGAACTTTTCCCTCCCTCTCTGTGTTCAATTCCCCTGCTCAGTCTATTTCTTTCCCATTCTGGGTCAGCTCGCAACAGTTAAAGGGAGTCACAAGCGATCCAAAGGATCAACAGGACATTAGCTTTGATTAACTCTGCGTAATGGTAACAGTAATCTGCTTTGGAAATAGATTTAGGGAATGGAGGGGGTCACCAGGGGAAGGGTATGCTGCCATCCCATCATCCATCTTCATCTAATAAGTCTTCCCCTAGAATTAACATCAGCTATGTATTAATCTTATTTCCTACTGATCAGTACCTCAAAAGTGGGAGGAAGAGAGGAGAAACGGAAGGCCATCTTCAAAAGTTCTTAAGTCTGGTACTTAGAGAAAGCACATCTTTCTAATCTACTTCCATTCCACAATACAAATCAGATATAATTTGCAAAGGGAAAGAAGAGCCAGAAAAGAAGGTAAATAAAGAATAAAGATAAAAGCACCAGAGAAGACACACACAACCTTGGGGACAGTACAGTGAACAGGTTAAGAATTCCTTGTACCCTAGGGTTCACCAGTGTTGCTGAAGCATTCATCAGTACAGTAATACATATTTAAGAGATAAATGGGTCACTTGGAAGAAATGACAACAATGTAACTCATCAGGCTAAATGAAAGATAAAGCAAACAACTTTCCCAGGAAACTACCTTTGCTAGGATATGACAGGCCATATTTGTCTCGGGGGTAACAAAACATCAGTCTACTAATGTCCTAAGACTGTATTCCCAATAACTATATAAGCCATATTTCTAACAAAATTAAAATTTAATGCCTCAAATTTAAAGCTTTCTCAATTAAAATCGTTATTCTGTTGCAAAGAATGTGACTGAAAAAACAATGCTGGTTACCAATGTGACCATATAAATGCAATTTGAGTTCTAGATTACTCAAGGATAGACACCTCAAGTGAGGGCTGAAGCTGCCCCCCCAAAAAAAGATTAAGTCCACTGTCAACTAAAGTTAATATTCTACAATTCAAGAGTTTACAAAAATACAGAATTCCATCATAATGTGGCTTATCACATGGAACTTAGGGACAACAGGAATCAATTCTCATCATCTGAAACACTGTATAACCCAGGTGTTAAGATTCTTTGTGCGTATGATGATGCACTCACTTTCCATCACTTGGAAACAATGGGCTTAGCATTGCTAAAATGCCCCATATATATGCTGTATGCCTGTTTCATGGTCCATTTTATACTGTTCACTTATGAGCAACATTAGAATTGGAAAAGTGGTTCCCTGAGCACAAAACAGTCTAAACCACCAATGCCTTTTCAAATCACTAAACCAAAACAAGCTAATCACATCAAGGGGCAGTAAAATCAGTTTGTATTCAACATAACAGAACTAGGAAAATATAAGCAAAAAAACACTATCATTTCATTTCCTAACCTAGCAAATAGCTGTACATTAATCATCAATCATTCAGGCTTATGTTACAATATATCTTTATTATTTTTCCAAACACTGTAGGAAAGCACAATTTAAATCCCTATCTAAAGACTGAAAACAAGTGAAATGAGGCCGGTATTTCTTGTGAATGAAGGTATTACAGGACAGCAGCTGCTAAAACCTCCCAAAGCTCCAAAGGTAGAACCCAGATCCATCTTCAAACAAAAAGAACCCAACCACACAACAGCCCTGCAGTAGGAACCAAGGGCTCAAGTGTCTATTTAGACAACCCTGCAGGAGTGATGACGTAACCTGAAGCTTAGTTTAAAAAACAGAGAAAAGTACAGCTGATCAAAAGAAACAGAGCTGCAAATTCGAGCTCAATTACATTGCAGCCACTCCCTGATCCAGATTCCACTGGCTTACAACAACTTTCCCGTTTCATAGTTTAAGCAACCCAGTCTCTTAATGTCAGTCAATACCTTTTCTCTTCCTTGTCCCAGCTGCTGGTAAACATGTGAGCAAGACGCCCCTCCAGGAGTACAGAAAAGGTAAGGGAGACTTCCCGGTCATGAGAAGTCAGGTAGCTCATAGCCCTTCCCCCAGAAGCAAATACGATTTTTAACAGAGGCCCCTCCTGGACACCTTCTGTTCCTACGCAAGTCCGAGTTCAAGTTTTCAAGAAGCGAAGATAAGTGCCCTGCTCTATAACACTCCATTTCACTCTTCCAAAGCACCGGCCACCGCAGCCGCAGAGAAATGAAGCCTCTCCCGTCCCAGCAGAAGTCGACCACACCTCCCTGCGAGCTCAAATTCGCCTGCGTTTCCAAAAATGGGCGCCATCACTGAGCGGTCCTCCTCTGGGCCCTAAACCGTCAGTCTTGCAAGTTTGTCTTCCTCACATTCGTTAGCTAGCCAGACTGGGTGAAGGACGGGGCTGTAGAGTGCGAGGAGGCTGGAGTAAGCGAGGCCTCGGAGCCAGCTCTGGAGCTACTATAGGGTCCGGCCTGCCGGGAGAGCCACGCGGAGCCCAGGGCCGGGGCCTGGCCGCCGCCGGGCAAGCCTGCTCCAGCCCGCAATGCCAACCGGCCCCAGGCTCGCGGCGCAGCTAGCGTGGGGCGGGGCCCTCAGGGGCGGGGCTAACGCTATGGGCACGCCCACAAGCTCCGCCCTCCCAGCCCAGGACAGCTCCGGGGCATGGCGTAGAGCAACTCCAACCCTACCCTTGACCCCCAGCAACACTGCGACCTCAGCACTTCCACAAGCTTACATTTAGATTGAAACATGCCTTTCCGTAGAACAAAACAGATACTGGCAATTTTGTATCATTTCAACCTAAGACCTACACAGAGTATATGGGACATACATGGCCAGACAAGTGCTCATCTCCTGGTTAACCGTGTGAACATAGAGTAAAAGCATTCTCCACACTTCATTAACTATTTACCGGGCGTCAACTACCATATTTCTTCAATTCTAACTCACTCCTCTACTTCTACCCCTGTCGGCACCATACTTGAAACTCCTTCTCTCCCTTCGAAAAGATTGCAGTGAGAGTAGTAAACACTACACAACCATATTAAACTCCTTCAACCTCCAAACTGAGATTATACTCTCTTCCCACTCTGGGAAAACCATCTTAAATGGCCTCATTAAACAGAGAAGCTTGTTTTGTTTTTAAAGAAGCATTACCCGTGCCCCAATAAAGTCTTGGGCCTCAGCTTTGCACTGCGTCAGGTAGTACACTCCGGGGTTTAACCTGTCATTACATCATGCTTACAGGGCAGCCTGCAAACGCAGCAGGAGCTGTAGTGGGAGTGAACTCTGTGCAGTAAGTTGCAGATTACCCATTTTCCACATCAAATTTTAATTCTAATCACTTCCCAGCCCTCTTAATAGTGTATTCAAACACTTCAACCTCATTTTAATATTTTAAATATTAAAGCTACACAAAACATCATTAGGAATAGAAATACCATTAAAATTAGATAAAGACTGTTATTACTTACATTTTTATTTTCTAATACATATTCATTCTAGAGAGGTCTCAGGCTTCTAGGGCAGGAGACTCCAAATGTTTTAAGCAGGGAAACTCTTTCCAAACAGTTAAAACTGAACCGAAATGTATAAAACAAGTCAAAGGGAGAGAATGATTCTGAGAGAAAAAAATCATTTTTCCCAAACTTCCAAAGGATCTGTTACAGAGACTTATAGCACCATCTGAAAACCATTAACCTACACACAAACCTCTCAACAAGTGAGTCAGGACAATAAAAGCGTAGGCATTCTGGAGTCACCTACACACAGTTGGATTCAAACCCAGTCTTCACCACCTGCTCAGTCATAAAACTGGGACAATATTTCCAGCCTCACACAGCTTTTGTCTGGATTAAGGGAGATGGGTAATTTATGTATATCATAGATGGTACACACTCCAAAATATGTATTCACCTGACATCTCCAAACTTTCTTGCCTTGCTTGAGGTCATCTACTAGTTAGTGGGTTCCAAAAGACAGTTTAAATGTATGGGTTCCAAAAGATACTTTGGAGTTTGTAAAGGTGATCAAACATGTCTGCCAAAGATCAACTGCCATTTAACTAACCTTTAGCACAATAAACCTTAATAAATTTCTCGACTAGGTAGAATATTTACACTGGTTTTACAGAGAGCTTAAAATTTCACAAAAATTATATTACACTGACAAGCCCATAAAATAAAAAATTAACAAAAATCCAAAATTTAGGAAGAGTGACGTAGTACCTATACTTTCTAAAGCGTACATGCAAAAGAAGTACTTTCTACATTTGACATTGTGAAGGGTATTATGCAGAAAATGTTATGTTAAAAATCTATTTTAAGATTTACCTCTCACACATTGACAAAATTAAATTTAAATTTAATGCAAGTCTCCTTAAAAATTTAACGGCTTAAAATGCCAAAAGTTAAAAAAAAAAATCAAACTTCATTATAAAACAATAATGCTAAGGAAAAAAAGTGTTTAATTTTTAATTTCCAAAACTGTAGCAAAGTAATATGAGGAATTTAAATTGCACGTATTTTCCTAAAATCTCTATTTTTCCGAAGGTAATTCTGAAAATTCCACTGCTATAGAAGAAGAGTTACTTATATCTAGTAAGACTGGTGATCGGAAATGGGGAAAGCTCAGGACAACAATCTGATAAAATGATCTGTAAAAACAGAAGTCTGAACAAAGGTGATAGCCCAGTAAATGGAGAGGAAAGTGCAAATCCCAATTCAAATGTGTAAAGCAATGTACATTTGCCTTTTTACTGCAGAAATCAATCTATTTTGAGACTTCCACCCCAGTAAAAAAAAAAAAACAGCCTATACTGAATCAGAACCCACTAGACACTATGCTAGATACTGCAGTATAGCAGCAGATGAAATGCAAAGTGGGAGTGATCTAGATGCCTGTGAGAGATCTTGGCAGAAAAGCAGTTGACGTACAAGAGTTCAGAGTGCAGAGGAGGAGGCGTTAACACACAATGCTATCTGAAATCACAGGGAAGAGGAGCATGCCTAAAATAAGAGAAATCCCAAGAAGCAGTGGCCTAGACTGCAACAGTTCTCAAACTTTATGGTGCCAACTAATCATCTAGGGATCTTATTGCAGGTTTGGTCTTAGAATCAGAATTATTCTGAAGCTAGGCCTGAGATTCTGCATTTTTAACCCTAGGTGTGGCCAACTGCTGGTTGACGCTCACAGGAGTAGCAAAAACCTGAACAACTGAGAAGGAAAGCAAAGGTGAGAGAAAAGCAAGAGAGAGTGGTATCTCAGAAGTCAAGGGAAGGTACTGACAAGAAGATCTATAAACACTCACATGTACAAATATTAGAATAAACTATGCTTTATTATATACTTATAGAGAACTTATACTCTTTCTATAATCAGAAAAAAATTAAAAGGCAACAAGCAGACATGCTTGAACATGCAAGAATTCATGGAATATATAGCACCCATGAATGCTTAATTGATTAAAAATAATCAAGCAATGGATCAAAATAAGTAATTTAGAAGTGGTGATTTGGTAAAAGGTGCAAATATATAAATAACAAAAAATCTATGGTAAGAAGTAGTAAAAATAATGGCACAGTCAACCATGTGGAATCTGCTGAGAGGTCAAGTATGATCATGCCTAACAGGTGTTCATGGGTTGGCGTTATAGAAGTTACTGGTGGCCTCTGCAAAAGCAACCTTGGAGATATGGCTGGTGCATAAATCAGACCAAAGGAGACTGAACAGAATGCTCTGTTAACAAAAAGCATGGCTGTGGAGAGGAGAGGCAAGTTAGAGAGTGGCTGAAAGGCCCAAAGAAGTTGTCCACTTGGTTCCTTTTTTCTTTTTTAAATGGGAGAGACCAGAATATAGTGAATGCTGATAGAGTCCAGAAAAGAGGGTAGTAATCCCAAGAAACGGAGCAATGGATAAAATAAAATTCTTGGTGATGGGGGATTCAAAAGTCAAGACAGAGTGACTAGACCTTTTTAGAAGAGATGATAAGAACAAAGAAGACAAAAGATGTCTAGCTCAGGAAGTTGGAGGTTAAGAAAGTTTCAGTCTGAGAGTTTCCATAGTCTCAGCAAAGTCTCTGCATAGTCATTCTCTTTTGGTGGGGGGTGGGGGGGATAAAGAGAAGATGGTATCAGCACCAAGTCATGGCAGAGTGTTTTTTATGAATTGGTTGGGTCTTTTGGTAGGACATTGAGGATATAGTCAAAATATGTAAGTGTCAGTCGTTACCTTAGGTCCCAAAAAATCTCAACTGCCTTTCTTGAACCAAAGGAGAAGTAATTTGCCATTAACATTAATATGTTCTCCAAATTTCTGGATCATAACTCTAAAACTAGCTAGAATTGCCAAACTTAACAACCATTTTTAATTTCCAAAACTGTAGCAAAGTAATATGAAGAATTTAAATTGCACGTATTTTCCTATCTCTATTTTCCCGAAGGTAATTCTGAAAATTCCGCTGCTATAGAAGAGTTACTTATATCTAGTAAGACTGGCAATCTGAAATGGGGAAAGCTCAGGACAATAATCTGGTAAAATGATCTGCTGTAAAAACAGAAGTCTGAACAAAGGTGATAGCCCAGTAAATGGAAAGTGCAAACCCCAATTCAAATGTGTAAAGCAATGTACATTTGCCTTTTTACTGCAGAAATCACTCTATTTTGAGACTTCTACCCCAGTAAAAAAAAAAACAGCCTATAGTGAATCAGAACCCACTAGACACTATGCTAGATACTGCAGTTTAGTAGCAGATGAAATGCAAAGTGGGAGTGATCTAGATGCAATACCAAGCACTGATAAGCACTTTGATAGTGGGAATGCAAAACAGCACAACTGCACAAAGTTTTGTGGGACAGCATGGTTCTATATCCCAATTCTATTTTACTAGCTACATGATATTTTTATTTCACATCGAATCTACAATTTAATTAAATCAAGAATAAAAGTACTAACATCTCCCAAAACAAGGCAAGCCCATTTTTAACATGCTAATAGTAAAACTTTCCCTTTCTCACCTGCCAAAATAAAGATTATATTAAACTTCAAAACTGTGTCAAAACAATCATTTAAACCTAACTGCAACCATTCTGGTTTCATTTCTCACAATTATATCACAAAACAAATACCCATCCTTGGGGATTAGGAGTGCACTTGTTGTGATGAGCACTGGGTGATGTATGAACTGCTGAATCACTATACCGTACACCTGAAACTAACAGAACACTGTATGTCAACTGTACTGGAATTACAATAAAAATTTTTGAAAAATAAGACAAATACCCATTTTTCCCCTTGAATCCTTAGTTATGATTCATTTTTTGGCACAGCCACCATACCTCAAGAAAGTTTTCAGAAAGGACATATAAGAGTCTCAATCTTGGCAGTCTGAAGCTCTTACAGAAACTGCACAGGTTTACAATTCTAGTCACACCCTTTTCCCCTGAGAACTATAGAAATTCTGCTCATGATCTTTTGACATAATGATGTAGATGAAAAATCTACTGCCGTTTTTATTCTTATTCCTTGGCAGGTTAACATTTTCTCGCTGGCTTGTTGGGACTCTTTGTCTCTG